CGTCACAGAACTGAGTCGTCACCATTGCCATGTTATGGTTGTTCATCTTGGCATGCCACGCCGCGGGCGTGAGTCTGTCGTAGGACTCGACCCATGGATCTGAAGGAAGAACGGTAATGCCTCTGGCTTGCATGTGACGGGTAAGGTCATATGTATGATAGTCAAAGTTGGGGTGTACTCCCCATTGTTTAGCCTTGACTGGTCCCACTGCGGTGGGGCAACGGATGTATTGCATCACGTCGATGAAACATAACACATCAACCTTCACGCGAAAAGGATGTTATTAGGAATGCCGTCCTCACACTCGATGCGTGCGTTCTCGCGGCGTCCGTTTGTGGGAGCACGATCGTCGTGGCGCCGTGCGTCCAACCGCTGTTGGTTGTGGGCGGCGCAACCGATATCATTTGCACTCCAAACGACAAAAGCATTGAGGCCCCTGCAGTAGTGTCGTTGTTTTACATATGCAGGGAAGCCTGTTGCCCAATACTCCCACATGTATTCGTTCAGGCTGCGCCATTCCGCCATGGAACGATTGTCGTTGGAATACATCAGGGCTCGCGCCTTGCGAATGGTAGTGATCATGTTGCGCTGGTCGACCGTGCCCTCGGTCTGTAACTGTAGGATAGCTGCGATACTGTTCTCTTGCGCCTTGGCGGACTGCTCGCGAAGTGTTGCCATACCGCAGCGGGTGTCGCCACCGGCTTCTGGCAATAAAATCAGATCCCGACCGATCGGAGTGTCGTTCTGCTTGAAGAATTATTTGTGCTTCTCGTGCGAGAACGCCCACATCGTGATGTCGTCGCGGATCAAGATTGCCAAATGGTCGAGGGTGGCGCCGCCCAGGTACTCTGCCTTGTTGAGGCATAGCATGGAGAGCGGTACGAGACCAACGTTGGATGCTTTTGCGAGCTCATCTCGTCGGGTCGGGCTGTTGAGCTCGTCGATGCCGTATCCTGGGTACTTCTTATGGCATTTGGCCTTACAGCCTGCTTTTTTGTGCATAATCCATGTAGAGTCCGCGTACAAGTCGGCAAATTTGTACGCATGGTGAAGGGCCAAAAGCACGGATGAGGAGCATTCCCAAGTCCTCTTGTACCATGCCCAACCACCCTTTCTCGGATAGAATGGCTTTTGCCAACCGAACACCGCAGAACGCGCTGTATTTCGCCTGGGGTAGTTCCAGCGGGTCCAGAATGGATCCTGGAGTAACGCCAGGGTCCTCTGCATCTGGTTGCTCACCAGGGTTCACGCTGCCCTCCTCGTAGGGCTGCCATTCCTGGAGGCGGAGATGCGGATGGGTTTTCCGGCCGTCAGGGCGATCAGAAAGCGTTGCCGCCGTCCTGGGCCTCGAACCGACTCCCCCAAAACCACCGCGATTTGACAACCATGTGCTGAGCTTACGGCGGAATTTCTTGGTTTGGTTGAGGTCGTAGAAGGCCCGCATCTCGGTGGCAAGATAATCCTCGACGATGTGGCCAATATGTCCTGCCACGTCGGACGTCCTGGCCAGGGCAGGGGGTCGCACTGGTGGCTTGATCTGCGCACGGTCGAGAGGGTGTGCATGACTTGGAGTAGGCAGACCCTCGGCATAGATGCCTGGTGGCATGCAGCAGCCGTCTTTGTACAGGTCAACCGTCTCTTTGACCGTACCCTGACCATTGCCTAAGCATAGCGCAACCCACCTTCGACCAATCATTGTGTAACATCTTCCACTCTACGTCCAGCACGTGAGTGGCGAGGTCCGTCGGAGGACACTTGCGATGTCCACCAGGAATTGTTGCGTTTAGATAATCAAGTAATGCACGGATATTATCCTGGACCGCAGTGTTCCACGCGAACAAGCTTGACATCATACACATGGCCTTCATCAACGACATCCATGGTGTAGCTGTCACCGCGTTGTACTCGCAGTAGGCGTCGCCGCCGACACGGCCCATAGCGTTGCCGATGTCCCCTGTCACGTCCAAGGGCGCGGCGCGGGTGGTCTCGACGAGGGCGGTGTCGTCTGGCACGCGCAGGTGGTACTCGGCGCTGTTGTCCAGGCGGAGCTGGCGCAGGAAGACGTATCCTTCGTCATCTCCACGAAGGCGGCCTGTTTGACCGTGGAACGCGAATCCCACGCGGCCACTGCCATCGGTCTCGGGATTGTGGTGGGCATCACCGCCGACGGCCCAGCCCACGAGGTGAAGGGTGGAACCTGATGCATCTCTGGAAGGGGGAGGTCGGGGGTAGAACCGATCCCCTGGACGTTAGTCTCGAGCGCTGCGAGCAAGATGCTGGCAAGCGTAGTTGCTCGAGTCGGAAAACAGCTGCGGGACTCTCGTGATCGCATCGCGAGAGTCCTAGACCTGTCGGGACTAAGGGGTGACGACGAGGGATGACCAGAGCGTCTACCATGTGGCGAACGGGCCCGTGCACGAGGTTGGCGTGAGCCGCTAGCCGCGGCAGGGACACCGATGTGGCATGAACACGCATGTAGTCCCTCGTGGTCATATTGCCCCATGGAAAGTTTCCCGCATTTCGTGCCTGGCTCCCCCCAACGCTCCTTGTCAGAAAGCAACGTTCCTGACATCCATCCAGTTTTGGGGGCTCGGCAATGCGTGGTAACCCATCGGGCCTTCTGGGCCCTCTCAACGGCCTCCACGGATGCTTCGGAGCGCGCTGTATAGGGGTAATGGGGAAAATGAGCGAAAATTCTAATACATCCCTCCAGAGATCTGCTTTCTTGGGCTCAAAATGGTATGTCATCATATCTGCAGTACCTACATACTTGAGCTCGACATATTCGAATTGGCATGTCTCACATTTCCCATCCAAAGCAATACGATGAATACGATGAAGATGACGAGGTGCTGGTGTACGTCCCTTTCGGACAATCTGGATCACGGCCTGGCTGTCTTCCAGTGCGATCAGATGCACTTTCGGAGAGCTGCTCTTCTGAGCAGGCTCTGGGTCCACGTGTAACACAGTACCCTCGTGGGAAATCGTACGCCTCTTTGGAGTCGTAAGTATCTCCGACTGCAGCGGTAGCTGCCTACGGCTAGGAGAAGACCCTTGTAGGGGACGCCTTACGAGGCGATGTCTTGCGCCTCCTCGTTTTGGCGGCCAGGGTCGGACATATCGTCGTAGCGACGCGCCCCAGGCAGCCTAGGCAGTTGGTCTTCTCTTCGTAGGTGCTGGCAACCTCCGCCGCGGCCTCCCAGAGAAGGAAAGCAGTGGAAGTCCCTCGAGTCGTAGTGCAGAGTCAAGAGCAACGATCTCGGACTCTGTGGAAAAGTGCGCAACGACCGTCTGTTTCTTGCACACAGCATTGACGGGGAAGAACGCATTGGGTCCAACGAGCGCCGCGAAGACGCCAGTCGTGGACTTAGAGGAAGCAATGCAGTCGGCAAACGAGGCGCCGGTGAAGAGCATGATGGACAGTTGGTCCGGAGCGTCACCGATCCATCCATGTAGACAGTGGGTACGAGTCGTCTTGAGCTAGCATATCAGCCGATGAAGGCGTTTGTCACACGTAATATTCCACTTGGTAACCTCTCTGGCTAACATGCATACTGGATGCAAAATATCGAAACGACAACACCGTGCCAGATAGAGAATCTTCATCAAAACACTCGCCGCGTCCTGGCCGAGAATGCCCTCGTCGGAATAATCAGACTCGGTAAAAGATGTGTCCTCGATGCCGGGAGTCTCTGCGGCGGGTAGGTCGTCGTAAGTGACTGTCGTGGATTGCGACGCATCAGTAGGTCTTTCGACCGACCCAGCCGGGCTGGATGATCGTGACCGAGCATTAAGCACGCTGGTAGGTCTCGCGACCGACCCGGAGAAGCTAGGCGATTTGGATCGCGAAGCCCTCGGGGAGTCGGACGGTTTTCGGCGTGAGCCTGGCGCTTGGGCACGCTTGGAAGCGCACTCTAGGTAAGGTTCTATACATTGGTCAGTGAAGCCAAGCGTATCATGTCGTATACCACGAACCTGTTTAGCTGTATGATAGTCTTTCTCGCTGTGGGTAGGCAACATTGGTCGAATGGTAGCCGTTCGCTTTTCGAAGACGTTCTGGGGGACGTCATAAGCCTGTTGTCCACAGCCAAGGTGCTGAGAATACGGGGTGGGCGGATCTAGGTCAATGCCGCTTTTGCGGATCAGATCCAAGCCGGCATGTGGATTGGTGGCCGGCCCTGCAAGTTTGAAGTCGTCCGCGTATACTGAAAGTATCAAGCCCAGTTTGTTGCGTCTCCACGCGCATTCCCAACCTGGGATGGGCTCGAATCCAACGCTTTCCAGGCACGCGCGACACTTGCGCTCCCAGAACACGCCTGCCAAAGGCTGTCCGTAAAATGCCAGGCGTAGTCGGCACGCGGGATTCCTGCATTTAGCCCAGGATGCAGGCTGACGCCACTTGGGTAAAGTAATCCCAATATCGACTGGTATGAAGTTATCAAAGCCCACGAAGTCTTTGATGGCGACGAGAATGAGAAACCAGAGAAACATCTGAGACGTTTTCCACAGCGTGCTCGGTCTGACTCAAGGGCCCTGAAAAGGTTTGGGCCAAAGTGCAATGGTACACCCGCTCTGCTACAGCCTTGCTCTGCACAGCCTGCGCACTGAAACATAGCATACACACAATATGTACAGCGTATATCTCACACCCGTGAAAAAAAGGAGTAAAAAACAAATGAATCAGAGAGAAGCCATCCTTCAGTCTGAAATATAACAAATCCAGATACGCATTCCTAAGATTGCGTTAACACTAAACATGATGAAAATCAAAGTTACAATGCGTGAGAAAGTGTAACTAACTCCACGCTAAAGAAACAATGCCGATATATCGCACTGCAGGTCAATGGATCTCCAAAACGAAGTCCACAATCATACATGGATCTCCAAACGAAATCCACGATCACAAAAAGGATCTCCAAACGAAATCCACCATCGTAAACCTTCGGGCGGCAAGCACTGAAAGCCGCAGAACGAAGAAATAATAGTATTGAGTACCAACCTCACTTGTGAACTCGAAAACCTTCTGTCAACTCTGGCTCGGTCGTCGCCTCGCCTGATCTGCGAAAACCCTGGGTCTGATGCTGAAACCTCCATACGTCTCCGCTGTATGTCGTCATGCTCTGCGTTCCCACCGTCCTGGCCGTGTACAGGTCGTTCGACGAGCCGCCGCGCTCGTCACTTGGTGGTCCTTCTGGTTCACTCTCCTTCTCGATCCGCTCCTTTTCGGCCTTCGCCCGTAGAACTGCCAACTCAGTCTTGCATTTATACTCGGCACCCTTGATCTTTACCAGGTGGGATGCAGCGGGATAGGCTCCACAAAACCCAAGACATATGAACAACATGGCAAACCAAATCAAAATACCATAGCCGTCGTTCTCGCTCTTCGTGTCGTAGCCCGAGTGAGCCGCCGATCTGCAACAACAAGTTGCGAACACCGCCAACTGCATGGACGGTGTCGTTGCCTTCCGCGTAGCCGCCAATGTCGCCGACCTGGTCTGATCTATGCTCTCCTGTCGCTCTTCCTTGGTATTCTTCTTCGCCGCCGTGTAGTTCGGGTCATGCTTGAGCTGTAGCCTGCCGCGTCGCAGACGGTCGGCGAGGAGCTGTCTCGCCGCGATATTCGCGAGCCCGTCCGCGTATTGCCTCTCTGAAGATACCCACCTCCAGCGTGTCATTGTAGCCTCCATCCTCTCACGCAGCGCTAGCACCTCGATGCCGGTCCGCTTGTCCTGGAAGCTAGTGATGCTCTCCTTCTGGGCCGCGTCGTAGAACGCCTTAGCGTCCACAACTAATGCTGACTCACCCGCAATGTGGGTGCTTTCATCCTTCGTGATGTCCACGCCGTCGTAGATCAGGGCTGCCCAGAATCGCTTCGCAAACTCCAAGCCATCCCTGCCCGCTGCTGCTGCTGCCTGTGACTCCGCATGTAGAAAGGAACGTGCCATGCGCAGTAGCTTGAAAGACTTCCAGTCGATCACGCTAAAGTCGGACTCGCGTCCGTCGAATATCTTCTCGTGGCATGCCAGGATGACGTAGCCACCTTGACTGGACCCGCCCCGTCAAACTCCCCAGGCTGCGTCCGTCATTGCTACGCTTCTCCTTGATAGTGAGCTCCCTCGTGTTGTCGCTGCTCTTCTGGTCGATCGTGATGGGCTTCAGATTCTTCGCGTAGGTCGCCATCTTCACCTCAATCTCGCTGCTGTTCGACTTCGGGTTCTCCCAGTGCGGGGTCTGCGTCAAGTCGCTGCCGCAGTAGTCCATCTTGTCGTCTTCGATCCATTTCCTGAACTTGAATTTTCGTTTACCTCGGTGATAGCTCGACTATAAGTACTGCCCGGCCGCCGATCTCCACCTCCCAGTATGTCGTCCACATAGAATAGAATGAACCCGTCATTATTGCCGTCCTCATCGAAACTGAGGAACGCGCAGGGGTCCAAAGGATGCCGCTTGAGACCGCTGGCCTTCAGGTCGTCCACCGCACGTAGCCACCAACGCCTCGGTGCGTCCACCTGGCCGTACATTGGCTTAATGAGCTTCATGAGAGTATTCGGCTCGATGCCCATGAGCTCTGCCGCGTCTCTGGGCACCTTCGCATATAACTCACGCTCTTGGGGTCGTCCTTGAAGACATGCAGTAGCTACGTCTGCTGTCCATAGTCTCCAGCCGTTGTTAGCCGCCAGTAGTAGCGCCATCTGTCTTGCCAGTCTCGATGCTGTAGGCGATGCCGTCGGTACTGCGCCACTGAGTGCGTCGGGGTCGTTGAAACCTTGCAGTGCCAGCCGCGCCTTGGCACGTGGTGTGCCGTCGTCGTTCTTTGTCCACTTGATCACCCACTTCGCCTTGAGTATCCGCCGAGGGTCCTCCTCCCCGGTGGGCTTGTGAAACTCCCAGACGTCATTGCCGATGAACTCCGTCAGCTCCTTCCGCTTGCCCTGCATGAACGCCGCGCGCTCGTGGGGCGTCATGTTCCTCGTGCTGATGTCCACGAAGATGTCGCTGAGCTTCGCATCCGTGCCACCGAACTCCCAGCCGAATGGCGAATCCTGACTGGTGACCATAAGCTGTAGAGCAGCAAGTTCGTCGTCAGCATCGTCGAGGTCCGGTACTGGTACCGCGCTGCTCTGTCCAGGGTCGGGTAGAGTGCCTCTGAAGACTCCGCCTCCAGGTCTGGTGAGTATCGCCGCCTCTGCTTTGTCCTTGCTGAGCAGCTCTTTCTGAAGATTTGATATAGGCCTCGACCGCGTCTGTGTCGATCCGAGCTCCTGCTCCGATGATGGTGCTGCCGCCGCTGATGACGATGAGGCTGCTGGCTGCGCTGTCTGCGTTGGCTGTGCTGTCGGTTGAGCTGCTGGCTGCTCTTGCTCTGGTGGGGGTGTCGTCGGCATCGGCTCCTGGTCTGGCTGACCAGAGTTAGACGTCTGTCGACTGCCGTCGGGTACCAGCGTCTCCGCGTCAGGAAGATCATCTGCTGGAGCTGCTGCGGCTGGTGGTACCTCTGGTGTTGCCGTGGCTGCTGCCGCCGCTGACCCACATGACGATGCCTCTGTAGGTACCTCCGACACGGGGGCCGTCCTAGAATCATGACCTCCTCCTCGACGTCGCTTGGATGCTGGACCTTCGTCTCCGTCTCCGTCCTCCGCGTCGTCGTCGACGTCCATGTCCGAGTCGCCCGGTGCGTCGAACGGGGTTTGCTGTGAGCTAATGTCGTGGTACTGTGTCACGCCCGCCCTCCGCATACTGCCCAGTGCATCCTTGGCCTGGGTCAGGTTCTCGAGGAGAACGCACTCTTGATCACTCACGTCTGGCCGAACGTGTTCAGGTGCACACCGTAGTAGCTGCGTGCCGTGAACGATCCAGTAGATGCGTGGTCCACTCTCGTCCTGGCGCATCTCCTTGAACACCACGACTGCGGGGCCCTTCCACTTGTTCTTGATCAGCTTGTTAGTCTTGCCCTCGCGCCAGGAGTGACACCGCTGGCCGATGGACAAATCGTGCTTGAGCGCCACGTGTCGTCGTAGGAGTGCGCGTCGAAGTTTGGCTGAGGCGTCCGCCTTCATGACAGCTAACGCCGCCATAGACCTCCTTTCCAGCACGTCCTTGAAGTCGTCGTCCTCCTTCATCTGGTACACGGTCGCTGGCGAGAACTTGTCGCTGGAGTTGGTCATCGTCGTCGTGGGATCCATGCCCAGAACCCACTGGCATGGTGAGTACCCTTTTGTGAATGCCAGTCGGTTGACCTGGTGGGGCACATAGATGCAAGCCTCGGTGATTAGTTTCTCGTCGAGTACCGTGTTGGCCGTACGCTCAATGGCGTCCTGGCAGTGGAGTTCGATCGCCTCTCGAACCACCTGATGACGTCGCTCCACCACTCCGAGACTCGAGTGAGCCTCGCCTGCTGCGATCACAACACTGATACTGTGTTGTTCCAGAAACTGCGTGAACTTGTCCGACGCGAAGCCTGAGCCGTCGTCGGTACGTAGCTCGCCCATGGGACCGAACTGCCTGATCCAGCCGTGCTCGACCGCCTTGATCAGTTCGTCGGCCGTCTCCGTCTTGATTGTCCGTAGGGCACAGTACCTGGTAGC